TCTACAGGTGTGGGTGATGCCGGTCCCGGTCTCTACAGGTTTGGGTGATGCCGGTCCCGGTCTCTACAGGTTTGGGTGATGCCGGTCCCGGTCTCTACAGGTTTGGGTGATGCCGGTCCCGGTCTCTACAGGTTTGGGTGATGCCGGTCCCGGTCTCTACAGGTTTGGGTGATGCCGGTCCCGGTCTCTACAGGTTTGGGTGATGCCGGTCCCGGTCTCTACAGGTTTGGGTGATGCCGGTCCCGGTCTCTACAGGTTTGGGTGATGCCGGTCCCGGTCTCTACAGGTTTGGGTGATGCCGGTCCCGGTCTCTACAGGTTTGGGTGATGCCGGTCCCGGTCTCTACAGGTTTGGGTGATGCCGGTCCCGGTCTCTACAGGGTTGGGTGATGCCGGGCCCAGTCTCTACAGGAGACAGAGCTGCCTGTATCTGTCTGAAGAGGAGTGGTGGAGAAAAGAGAGGGGAGAGCGAACCCTGTGACTTTTAAACAGTTTTTTCCCCTCTTTTTATGACGTGCCCAGGTGGGGAAGGGGATGTCAGAGGTTGGGATACCACCACATTCTCCAAGGTTGTTTTTTTTTTTTCCCCCTGCATGTCTGAAACCAGTTTGGAATCCTTCTGATGGTTCTGGCACTGTGCGGTGGCACTGCCCGGGCGCCCCTGTGTGTGTTGGGCACTGGGATGAACCAGCTGGACCTGGTGTGGCCGTCCCATCGCAGCTTGGCGAGCGGTGTGTCTGATGAAAAGCTGGGATGCCCCATCACCACCACCACCACTCTGGCGCAGCGTCCCCGTTGCTGGGAACTGGCCCGGCAGCCTGTAAATAGCGCCATGGTGTCACACAGAGGGGAGAAAACCCACACCAAGACTGGAAAGTGGGACAAGCTCGGGGCAAGAGGAATGGAGAGGTGATGCTTTTGGTCCTGTCCTCCCCTAAATGCCTGGAGGGGATTTAGGATCCTCCAATCCATTGGAGGATTCTCCTCCGAATCCATCTCCTCTACAGTACAGCCCTGAGATGACGGTGGGTTTGTCTTCTAAGGGAAGTGTTGACGAGGCCACCTGGATCATACCTCTGGTTTTTGCCCTTAAAAGGAGAGGAGCCAGCCTGGACTCCTGCCTTCGTCCCTGCTGCTGGAAGGACTCTCCATGCAGCAAGTTCATGGTGCTGCAGCTGACAGTGGCTTCCTACCCAACCCTAAATAAAGGGGGGTCCTTGCTGGCCACAAACCCCTTTTTCACATCCCTCAGCCTTCCCAAAAGCCCTGCCTGATCTTTCCTGCTCCCTCCCAAGCCCATCCGTGGGCTGAAGTCTTACCTTGTTGATGGCCAAGCCTTCCCGGGAGTCTGCAGGGGTGATCTCGTGTAAGATGGCAGCCCCCACCACACCCCCCAGGAGCTGGGCCACCACGTAGAAGACCGCGCGGAGGAAGGAGACTTGGGAGCCGATGAGGCAAGCCACCGTCACTGCCGGGTTGATGTGGGCTCCACTGATGTGCCCCAGCGCTTGGACGAGCGTGCCGATGGCCAAGCCAAAAGCCAACGCGATTTGAAGGATGCTGGGGGCGGGAGATGAGGGCCAGTTCAGAGCAGAGCCCAAGCCGAAGAGGATGAAGACCAAAGTTGCCAGAAATTCTGCAAAGACAGCCCGGGTGAAGGCTACGGATCGCAGTTCCCACATCATGGAGCGGCGGCTGCTGGAGGCTGCAAGGACTGACCCTGCTCGTGATGCCTTCAGGCAATCGCGACCGCGGCTGCTGTGTCCATAGAGGATGACAGGGGGACAACACGTATATATATGGACACGGGGGGGGGGTGTGAAGGATCCCCTGCTGAAGGGGGTGGGATTGTGGTCCTAGGAAATCTGATGCTTTTTGTTGGTTTTTTTTTTTTTTTTCCATTTGTGTTCCAGCTGAGGGGATATCTGACCCTGCCCCCTCCGCTAAAGCTGCGGAATGCGGCGTTCGCCACCCTTGGGAGGTCATAAATCAGCCTCCGGCAATGCCACGGAGCACTGCTCCCTTCCTCCCGTCCTCTCGCACTCGGGGTCCTATCCCCAGAGGTGTTGGTTGCTCCTCTCTTGCAGCTCCAACCGCCCGCAGCATGGAGAGGAGAGGAAGCGAGGGGGGGTCTGTAGAGCCAGAGATGGAGCTGAGGTGGGGTCGTGTTGAAAAGCAAGATGCGGGCTGTGATTAAATAACCAGGCAAAACTGGGTACAAAGGAGTCTCTCGGAGGCACAGAACTCCAAAGTGACTACACTACAGCTCGGTTCCTCAGAGTACCAGAATTTTACAGCCTGGGCACACATTTCCCACCCAGAAAAACGGGAACCAGCCCCAAGAAATGACTGTCAGGGAAGAAATTCTAGTGTGAAAAAGATGACACGCGCAGCTGTGCTCTAACTATGGGGATTTTGGCCAAATCAGCTCTTCAGAAATGTCTTTTTACTTCTTAGTAATCACCAAAGGAGGAACGATGTTTTCTTCTCTGGAGCACAGTTCTTCCCATCAAACCATCCAACCAGTCCATTTTCCTTTTTCTCCCATTGCTTAGGGCACATTTGCCCATTCCTGGGTGATGTCTGTAAAGACTTTTGCTCCCTGTGTCATTGGGGTGAGTTGGTTTGCCGGAAAAACAGCACTTGTTTCTTTTTTCCCCCTTGTTAGCAGACTCTGTAGTTTATCTAAAGCACAGCAAGGTGGAAGGGGCGCTCCCCCAGGGCAGAGCTGGAGTTGAAAGGACCATTTTATTTTAGAGGGGCGCAGAACACCAGAACCGAGAGTCGATTTTTTGGCTCTGACAAAAGCTGCCGCTGTGGGATAAACCAAATATTTTCCCCTTCCAGAGGAACCGTCCGAGTGTCACCGAACTGATGTGAAAGGTTGATGCAAAATATTCCATATTGCTCAAATCATGTCATAGAATGTCTCAAGTTGGAAGGGACCCGTAGGGACATGTGATGGCCTGTCCTTTCCTCCACAAAAGGTGGGTAACAATATGTGTCGGTTGGACTAGATGATCGCTGTAGGTCCCGTCCAACTGAACTATTCTGCTTCTCTTCTCTTCTCTTCTCTTCTCTTCTCTTCTCTTCTCTTCTCTTCTCTTCTCTTCTCTCCTCTCCTCTCCTCTCCTCTCCTCTCCTCTCCTCTCCTCTCCTCTCCTCTCCTCT